AGGTTTAGCAGGCTGAAATAATTACTCCCTACTTTCATCTGCCCCAAGGTAAAACTACACATAAATCTTACCCGTGGTACCACTTGTGAAACAAATTGTGTAAACATCGTCAGGTTTAGCAGGCTGAAATAATTACTCCCTACTTTCATCTGTCCCAAGGTAAAACTACACATAAATCTTACCCGTGGTACCACTTGTGAAACAAATTGTGTAAACATCGTCAGGTTTAGCAGGCTGAAATAATTTCTCCCTACTTTCACCTGTCCCAAGGTAAAACTACACATAAATCTTACCCGTGGTACCACTTGTGAAACAAATTGTGTAAACATCGTCAGGTTTAGCAGGCTGAAATAATTACTCCCTACTTTCATCTGTCCCAAGGTAAAACTACACATAAATCTTACCCGTGGTACCACTTGTGAAACAAATTGTGTAAACATCGTCAGGTTTAGCAGGCTGAAATAATTACTCCCTACTTTCATCTGTCCCAAGGTAAAACTACACATAAATCTTACCTGTGGTACCACTTGTGAAACAAATTGTGTAAACATCGTCAGGTTTAGCAGGCTGAAATAATTAGTCCCTACTTTTATCTGCCCGAAAGTAAAACTACACATAAATCTTACCTATGGTACCACTTGTGAAACAAATTGTGTAAACATCGTCAGGTTTAGCAGGCTGAAATAATTACTCCCTACTTTCATCTGTCCCAAGGTAAAACTACACATAAATCTTACCTGTGGTACCACTTGTGAAACAAATTGTGTAAACATCGTCAGGTTTAGCAGGCTGAAATAATTACTCCCTACTTTCATCCGTCCCAAGGTAAAACTACACATAAATCTTACCTGTGGTACCACTTGTGAAACAAATTGTGTAAACATCGTCAGGTTTAGCAGGCTGAAATAATTACTCCCTACTTTCATCCGTCCCAAGGTAAAACTACACATAAATCTTACCTGTGGTACCACTTGTGAAACAAATTGTGTAAACATCGTCAGGTTTAGCAGGCTGAAATAATTACTCCCTACTTTCATCTGTCCCAAGGTAAAACTACACATAAATCTTACCTGTGGTACCACTTGTGAAACAAATTGTGTAAACATCGTCAGGTTTAGCAGGCTGAAATAATTACTCCCTACTTTCATTCGTCCCAAGGTAAAACTACACATAAATCTTACCTGTGGTACCACTTGTGAAACAAATTGTGTAAACATCGTCAGGTTTAGCAGGCTGAAATAATTACTCCCTACTTTCATTCGTCCCAAGGTAAAACTACACATAAATCTTACCCGTGGTACCACTTGTGAAACAAATTGTGTAAACATCGTCAGGTTTAGCAGGCTGAAATAATTACTCCCTACTTTCATCTGCCCAAGGTAAAACTACACATAAATCTTACCTGTGGTACCACTTGTGAAACAAATTGTGTAAACATCGTCAGGTTTAGCAGGCTGAAATAATTACTCCCTACTTTCATCCGTCCCAAGGTAAAACTACACATAAATCTTACCTGTGGTACCACTTGTGAAACAAATTGTGTAAACATCGTCAGGTTTAGCAGGCTGAAATAATTACTCCCTACTTTCATCTGTCCCAAGGTAAAACTACACATAAATCTTACCCGTGGTACCACTTGTGAAACAAATTGTGTAAACATCGTCAGGTTTAGCAGGCTGAAATAATTACTCCCTACTTTCATTCGTCCCAAGGTAAAACTACACATAAATCTTACCTGTGGTACCACTTGTGAAATAAATTGTGTAAACATCGTCAGGTTTAGCAGGCTGAAAAAAATCACCACAAAATCCCATTATTTTCAACAAATACATAATTTTTAAAACAAAGAAGAAAAAATCGCCCAGAAAAAGATAACATACAGACATTTTCCAAGGATTCCAGTGTCTCATTAACTAAAAATTAAGAAATGAACACAAATCATTAAGCATGACAAATTCTTGTACTTAATTAACCAAATCCAACAAAGAATTCTTACCATAACATCTTCAAATGACTTTACAGTTATTCCAAGTTTTTTAAAGTTTTCTCTCTCGTCCTTTGTCACATCACCAATTTTTATAATATGCTTGAGTTTAGGACATTGATGAGTTGACTCCAATAATATTGGCAGCTTGTTCTCATCACACACAACTAATGATAACTCAGCTGAATATAATTTGAAATCAAATGTCATCGACAGATGTTTCTTAATCACCATAGTAACTCCAACAATCTTAGTAAACATACCATGGTTGATGATGTAGATACATGCTTCAACACCTAAACTCTCATACAGTGGAACAGATACAAAGGAAAACATAACACAGGCTCTGTCCATTAACATCCACTAAAAATAAAATAAAACATTACAGATCAAAATATGACCAATCTAAGTCAAAAATCATAATGTGTGAAACCTCCAATTTGTTCACAGCATAAATGCCAAATGTCATTTCAGTTGATGGTTTATAGCCAAGTTACATTATCCCAGATCCTAGAGCAAGTGCTTTTTGATGCACCTAAAATTTGGTCAAACTATAACTCATAAGGACTTCAGGCACTATAGATATAGTTTGTAGTAAATATGAGAACTACCTGATTGTGTGTTAACCATGAATATTTCCCATTAACTATCGTACCAAGATATGGCTGGTCACCTGTAGAGTGCGTTAATAAAGGAATACTTCATCAAATAACTTACAAAAATAACTAAACACAAAAATTAATTAACCAGAAATTTGAGCTCCTCTCTCATATGCTTCATAAACAGTAGTAATTCCTTGATATGTCACCACCAACTCTTCTGAAAACAGAGGTCTTTTTGAACCAAGATATTCCTATTCAAATAGAGAAAATACATTTAACAATAAAATATTTATTACATTTGCTAATGGAAGGTATTGTACACTGCATTGCTAGGGATGGGAAAGTGAAAATAGTCTTATCCCACATGTGCAATAAACACGTGAGGCAAGTCCCCCGCTGAATGTCCCTGGATTCATTTATCATAGAATGTTAAATGGGGGGGATTCATTTGTTTCTGTTAAAAGGAAATGACATCACATATTGTATAACTCTCAACTAGATTATTAATCACGTGACCAATGTACTTATGTTTTTTGTTCTGCCTTGTAAAAGAGCACATGTTATGTTAAAATATATTCTCAATCATTATGTGTTAAGCCTGGGTCACACTATCATCTATATTGACGAAAACGAAAACAAAACGAAAATTCGTGCAAGAAATGCATGCCAGACACGACGAAAAATTACAAGCATGTTTGCAAAGCCAAAACTTTTTTGGGGAAGAAGCAAGCGGAGTTTTTGACGGATTAGAAAAAATGGCGATCTCTAAAAGAAAAAGATTACTTCTTCTTAAGAAAAAGTTACTGCTTTTTCAAATACCAATCAAAGTGTCGCCACCATTTCCAATTCTGCTCGCCAGTGGCAGCAACACCACTAGCTCTTCTAAGATCGTACTGCCTTTTATACTGCATGAATGAATCACGCAGATTAGCCCACTTTTACATGATAGTGTCAACTGTAAAATGTTTAAAAAATAATGGAAATGAATGATTTGATATAAAATGTGTGTCGGCGGACTATCAATAATACTCACTATCCCACGCCAAGTCCGTAATTTTATTAAATTCATCCAAAACATCTTGCCAGTGAATTCTTTTCTTGTTCCTCGAGTCCTTATAATCCTGGTGACTTTTATCATACAAAATTGGTTTTTCTCGCATCAGATTTATGAAAACCTCTTGCCACTCCGCCATGTTTGAGTACAAAGTCTGATATTACTAACCAATAGTATGCGTTTTCTTTGACGAAAAAGGTCAAAACTTCAACTCTTCTCATATGTACGAAAACGAAATTTTCATGTTTGTAAATTGGTTCAAACCATTTACTTTATAACGAAATTTTCGTTGAGTTTTCGTTCAAAGTTTTCGTTGCGGCAGTTTTCGTTCTAATTTTCGTCGATATGGACGATAGTGTGGCCTAGGCTTAAATCTAACATGATGAATAATGATTAGCAAACCGCTCATTAGGAAAATAGAAACTTTATACAAAAGAAAGAGAACATTCTCCTTCGGTTAAACACGAATAACGGGATAAGATCAAAATCTCGACAAAATATTGTCTATTCGAATATCTCATTGAAGTCATTGCCTTAACATGAGTAGAAAAATAAGATTACATAAGAATGATGACATGGCTATCATAGATAATGTCCTACGATTGTCTGCTTTAATTTCTGTCCAATATTTTACTCAATGATTTTACACGATGATAAATCCTGGATACAGACACTTGCATCAGATTTGCAAATTTGTCTATAATTTTTAAGGCAAGAAGCACCAGAATGAGAAGAATTTACGTAACCACATCTATTATTATGAGAAGGTTGAAACAGGCTGATACGAGATCAAAAAGAAGACAAAAAGGAAATGGTTATAAGTATTAGCAGTCGAGAGAGAATTGAAAACTTTTTCCAAACTCCAATGCAAAAAAATGCTGTCAGAAAACGTGCAAAAACTGGAAGGATAGCGCGCAAATAAATCTTTACAACATAAAATAGGAAACAATTTGTGGTTGAACTTTAAATCAACTTTTAAACTTTTCCATGATCCATTAAAGCCTTCAAAATAGTACAGTAAATTAAATGGCATTTGATTAATATTCGTTGATGAAGTGTATTAACGAGATAATAATTGTCGGTAAATAAATGAGTTTATTGAAACTCGTTCTTCTGTGGTAAATTAAATTTTCGGAAAACTTTCTTTCCCTGTTCATCAATCATCTTTCATTTAGAGATATTCCCGCACTAAGATATTGACGTGATGCACATCAGTTTTTTTGCAAAAGTTTATTATTATGCAAAAATAATTCAAAAATGTCTCTATCCTCTATCACAGAACGATCATGAATGTAAAAAATTTTTCTTTTGTAGTATGGCTTTGTTGAGTTATCTCCCACTGATTTTTGACATTATCATAATAATTTATGCATACTGCCACGTAGGAAACACTGTTCATTATTGAACATTCCTTTAACTAACAAGATTTTTGTAACGAGATCTGTGAAATATAAAGTTCAATAAAGGTACGTTACAAGTTAAGATATATTTTGATGAATTTCTTAAATTTCTAGTTTCTTTTCTCTCTCTTTAAAACCGATTAAACAATATAATCACACAACGGTTAATTGTCGTCTGTGATGTCCAAGACGTGATATAAAATACAAATTCTCTTTGACTTATGTTCATCAAATACAATAAAGTTCTTTTTGCCTCTCAATGGTTGTAAATTGTGCTAACTTCATGTTGTATTTCTACGCTAAATTATTGATGTAATGTCAAGTCTATATTGTTAATGAAATGGCTACCTTGAATGTTCACAGGTAAATTTAAACTTCACGACGGAGATGGTTATTCGTTATGGCACTTAAAGTTTATGGAGAAATAATCATTAATGAAGTTTGATGAAATGAAAAAATGTAAGTTGTCTTAATTTCAATTAATGCGTCGCAAATTTTTGAATTTCTCATAACTTATCATTTTATCTAAGGGTGAATTAATAAAAATCAACTGTAATAACACATTTGCACCATCATTTGCTTATATAATATTATATTATGATGAACTTGGATCAAATTAAATGATCTTGTCCAACAATACATTTCTGAGTTTTACGCTTTCTTAATATGCCTCTGCTTGAAGTACACACATACATTGTCCTTATCACGTGCTAGCTAATATTCTTTTTTAGTTAAGTGTCTGTCAATCATATGTATCACTAACGGACAATTTTTGTGCATATATTCCAATTTTCCTCAATAATTGATGACGATTGTTATAGGGCAACGATGTTAAATGACGATCAAAAACGATGGTGTGTTTATGGAATCGTACTTAATAATGTTTTGATCCCAGCTGTTCGACCTTACCTGGAAAATAATATTTTAAATGAGTATAATGGATTAAAGAAAATTCATAAGATTGATGTTCAAACAACTCACATATTTCCTTCAACAAAATATTCCCTTCGCGATCTACATTATAAAAATATCAACAATAATAAAACAAAGGATAAGAATAAATTTAACTATGAAGTTAAGTCACATGTCGACTTTGGAAAACTGTTCCTTCAAAACCACATGGCAAAGTTTAACAGTTACAACAGTTGTGACGCATCAGCAGTGCTTAATTTACTAGAAAGGATCCCAATTTTTTCCAGCCTGGTCCAGAATGCGGCAAAAATCGTTAGAGAAAATAGAAATTCTTGGGGTCACTGTAATTTTGAGGAATGGAACGAAACAGATTTTCTAAAGAAAATCGACAATATGAAGAAACTTGTGAAAGAATTGTGTTTAGCAACTGAAGATGAAGTTTTGAATGTTATAAATTATTGGAAAAATCAAGGTATATTTATAATTATTATATCATCGTGTTGATTTTCTTGAATAATCTACACAATGTATGTAACATAAAAATAGCTTTTGAAGCTTTAACAAAATATATCCTGCTAATATCGGCCTTTCACAAAGACATAAATTTTGAATTTCAAATTATTTTCCATCATTTACATTTTAAATTTGTTTTATAGCTTTGACATTGTGGACAAACGACCGTGCTTTACGCGAAGAATTAGAGGAGCACATTAACAATCTTTCAAATGAAATTGAGGAAATGAAATTCGAAAATGAAGATTGCAAAAAGCTATTGCGAGAGACGCTTAACAGGTTTTCGCATTTCATGAAAGAAACTTTGCAGATTAAAAGAACTGTACATGAAACAAACGAAAAAGTTGATGAAATTAAAGATAAACAAAAAGAAACAAAAGAAAAAGTAGATGAACTTGAAGATAAACAAAAAGTAACAAACGAAAAAGTTGATGAACTTGAAGATCAACAAAAACAAACAAACGACGGAATTCAGCAAATTTTACAAATTGTGCAAAAATCAACAAAACGTCAAACATCCATTGCAATAAACCAGCCTCACCCAAGCACAGAACAAGGTATGAAGCTTTCTCTAAATACAACAAATGAAATGTTGTTAAAGTTTTTTTAGTGCAGATAAATTTTAGCTAAATGCATTGCATTACTTTAATTATTATATGATCGAGTCCCTTCCGAAAAAAAAAAACAAGAACATGGGGTGTAATAAAAGAGCGGAAGTAGAAAAAAAAGTGAATTACATCTTATGTAGAGGATATAATCTTATAGAGATCAGTGATTATAAAGTAGTGGTAGGTAAAAATGTAGTCAGCAAATGTAATACTTACAGTTATAGTTATATAGTTATAATGGTAACGAAGATGTAGATGAATTTGAAAAAGAAAGAGAGCTGTGTGCTGCCAATTCAGCAGAGTTGAGACAGATACTAGAAGGTCAAGATAAGCTTCTCATTGAGAGAAAAGTACATAAGGAGACTCAATGATGGAAGGAAGAAGTGCCTGCTTGTAATACTTTGCAACACTTTGACGCTTCAAGACAAGAGATGACTTGTCAATTTCCAATGTGATCTACTATACCCGTCAATGGGTTTTCACGGTTCGAATGCATGGTACAAACGAATATAAAAGAATCCTTAATATTTTTCGCAAAATCGTTTATTAAGCGATTAATTTTATCAAGAAAAATATTTTAAAACCAAAAATCCTTAAAAGTAAGAAAACCCCCATAATTATATTATAGCTACAAATTCAACTCGAGATGTCGGGATAGTTAAATTCCTGAAATTGGAAACATTTTAAGGCTGATTACGAACATGCGCAGTACGTAGTTTATGTACAATCTTAGCAAGGTGACATTTACCTTGCCGTGCATTGTGAGAACATAAGTCATTCTTCTGTATTTGATTATTTTCAAGTCAGCCCCTAAATGTAAAATTTTTATGTCATTTTCAGAATTGCAGTTACAAGAGTGGAAATACTCGGGTGAATCGACAAAACATAAAAACCTTTTGTTAAAATTGTGTGATCACAATGACGAGATTGAACTTCTGGGCAATGTACGTGTAATTTTCTCAGATGAGTTCTGCATCGGCGAAGGAAGTAATGACACCCGTGTTTATCTTGGACTGGGAGAGGATGGTTACGGTAAGGCAGTGAAACGAATATTCCGATATCACTGGATCAGGTATGCACATCAAGAAAAGAAAATTTTAAATCAATCCAACGTAAAGAAGTCAAAATATGTCGTAAATTATTCCTACTTTGAAGATGGTACAGGCACGGACTTTGTTTATTTAATATTAGACTTATGCGAAGAATCATTGGAGAGTTTTGTCAAGTCTTCTACTTTGAATGATCTTCAAAAAATTCTCCCTAAGATTCTCAGACAAATTTTGCAAGGATTGGCTGATCTTCACAGCTGCCAACGTCCTATTCTTCACAAGGATGTGAAGCCTTCCAATATTCTCCGTGACTCAAACAGCAATTTTATGTTAGCTGACTTTGGCATTAGTCGAATATTGGAACCTGGCGCCAAAACATTTATAAGCTTTCCTAACGTGGGAACTGAGGACTGGATTGCTCCAGAATCATATATTTTAGACGGAGACTTATTTGAAAAAGCACATTACAAAAAAGAGTCAGATGTATATGTAGGTGTAGAAATGATACCATTTCGAAATTATGTATAAATTCACTTTTGTGACATGTTGTTCTCTATCATTTTAGAACGCAGGAATGGTGGCCTATTATGTTGCAACAAAAGGGAAACATCCTTTTGGAATAAATGTGTATAGATTGATCAATATGGTGAATGGAAACCCTGTTGGCTTGGACGAAATCAAAGATGAAGCACTGAAAGATCTTCTGTCATGGATGTTAAAACATCAACCAGAAAAAAGGCCATCAGCCAATGAGGCATTGAAACACCCATTTTTTATGTCAGACGACGAGAAATTTGACTTATTATGTGAAGTTACAAACGAAGCGCTGATTAAGAAAAACGATCCCAACTCTATTGCCATTCAACAATTGAATAGAGAATTCTTAGATTGGAAAAGTCAAATGGATGTTGATGTGTATGATTATTTTAGAACGAGCGTGACCTATGGAATAATTCGTGATTATGGATCTTCTTGGACAGAATGCTTAAGACTTATTCGAAATGTTAACAAACATCGGTACGATCAACCACGGCCAAGACCACAACCAGAACCATTTTATAAGATTGGCAATCACAAGAACTATTTTCTCAAAACATTCCCCAATCTCCCTGTTCGGGTGCACGCAGCCATCAGGTTAGGCGATGAATTGAAAAACAATCAAGAACTCTAGAACATTTTCAACTTTAATCCTTCATAGATAAAAAGTGAAAAAACTTTTTACAACCAACTTGGATAATACGTAACCCCAGTAACTGCTATAACGTAATTAATTAATTTCACCTACAATGACAGTGAGATTTTACAATCCAAAGTAAAGGATGATAAATCACGTGGTCATTACTGATGTACAAAATTGTTAACTTGCTCAAATATTCTTGCTTTCGTGAATAAAGGAAAATGTGAAACCTTAAATTTAATAAATTTGAAGGTTTAAGGCTGTATCGTTATGATGTGAAAAGATTGGTTGGACTTTGTTTTCTTAACGAAAAACCGATATGAATAAAATCTTGTTTTCAAACATTCTTTTCAATGTGGAATTAAAACATCGACCGTTTTGAAAGGCAGAGTATCCAAGAAAAATTTATTAAATGATTTTTTAAGCATATATCTTTCAATATTTTATAACTGAAGTTGTTCATATAGGCAGCTTAATAACTGAGAGAGCATACTCATAAAATTAAAGTTTTTTTGCTTGTTAAAATTCGCAAATGTTAGCGGATGTCGAATTGTATAGATTATTAGATATTTGTCTCCCGTTGAAAAGATATCTTCCCAAACTGTTGATGACTACCGTCAAGGACGTCACCTGTCGTTGATACTTTTTTCTTCTATTTTTTGCGCTTTTTAATTTCAGAAAACTATAGCAATATAAGAACTAGCTTTCATTCACTTTTTAAGAATTTATGGTAATGCTTAGAAAATTGTTTTTAGATGATTGTTGAGAGTTGAGACCTAGTTTATTATTTGTGTTTCTATTTCAGAAAAACATAATGAAAAAAGTACCTTTTTTACATTTTTTAACAATTTATAGCAATGTTTAGAAAATCGTTTTGAGACAATTATTGATGTTATTGATGTTAAAGAGTCATTTTGTTCTGAGAACCCGTGGACATTAAGTGAAAAAAATAATCTTATTCAAATCAAATATCACCCACTACGACCTAACCCACCCGTCGTATTGAAAAAAGTCATCTTAACGACAATCTTCAACATCAAATTAATCAGTGAACATTGCTGTAAATGTAATCATTTACTTGTTGATATAATTCTAGATATTTGTAGAATAAATAAACAATACTATAAGAACCATGTTTATATAAAAGGTGATACACTTACCTTTGTCAAAAAAATATGAAACGCTGAAATTACATCCCACACTTTCCTTTAAACAGAAAATTATCAAATATTGCTACCCTACCAAAATAAATAAAACGTTTCGTTTAAACAAGCCTCAGGTTTCGTCTCTCCATTCATAAACAGACCTTATTTTAGAAATTGTAGATGTCAGTTAAGATATAAAATGTTGTTGTAAGTAAAAGTAATCTAAACATTAACTGGTCATAAATTGCATTATTTTTTATGATGTTTGCATAAAGTTCATCTAAATGACTGGAACTTTTTATAGCAACTAGTGTTTAGCCATGTAATAATCTCTTAGCATTTTGTAGACAATTTATTTAGTGGATTAAGAAGGATATTAAATAAAGTATCAACCTCAAATCTACTGGAAATAATGTTTTCTTTTTTATTTTGTATTTATCAAATAAATATATTTTCAACATAAGCACCTCAAGATTTGCAATGTTCCTAGAAATTGCTTTAGTAGTAAAAATTGCTACTTAAAGTGCATAACATAAATAATATTCAAGTCATCGTACATTTTTAGTTCGACAATATTTAGGTCCAGTGGCGGATCTATGGATGGTCAGAATACATTACAATCTATTTCCATTTTAAAATACTCTGGAGCGAATCCTACTGGGATTATTTTATTCTTAAATAGTATTTATAAACATTTAATGTTATTAAAAAAGTCTTTCGAATTGAAAATGAGCTTCTATAATTTATTTTGAACTACCCTCAATGAGACACGGTCTAGGTCTTAATCAATTTAATCTTTCCTAAACCTAGTTCCATGCTTCCAAAGTATTATTATGCATTTATCAAGGACCGAGGGGGACTGTGCAGTTATATCCCCCCTCCCGAAATAATTTGCTTCCATTTTGAATTTTGTAGCCAAATCCCTTACTAGCAAACAACTTTCTACGATTCAGTGGTCAATAACCATAGCACCTCCATTAAAGAATATGCTCCCCAGTCGCTCTTTATTCGTTATATTATTTGTATTTTATATAATTTGACGTTAAAATTCTATTTTAAGAGCAACAAGTTTTTAAACCCTTGTCTTCAATATATTTTTACCCTGAAGAATCAAGCGATCAAACAAAACTATAAACGATCTAAAACAGCCACGAGCCTTAAAGTTTCGGCTTAGCTGGAATCTTCTCCAATTTTTCATACAAACGATCAATTTCATCATTAAATCTTTTCGCTAACGTAAATCGTTTGGACTTAAGTGTTGGAGTTAGTAATCCATTATCTGGAGTAAATAGTTGCGAATGAAGATGAATTCCTTTGACCTGAAATAATGACAGAAATAAGATGAGGTGAAATAAAACTACAGAAGAAAATTATCGAGTAAAAACCTGTTCAAACGACGCCAACTTTGCTTCCTTTCCTCTGGAGATGATGTCATTCAGAATCATGTCA